AAGAATGGCTCAGAGGTTCTTCACAGTGTTGCTGGACTCCATCCAGAGTAAACATCTAGTTAGACACCATTTTTCCAAGATAGAGTCGAGTACCATAACCTCAGTTTTGTCATCCAGGCCTTTAAGTCATGCCTGTAATTTAACTAGTTGATTTGTTTCATGGTTAAATACAGCTTGGTGTCAGCTGCATAGCACTAAAAATGTTAGCAGCACTTTTTAAAATAATATTGCACAAGAGAATCAAAGGATCTACAAATCGATGAAGTCATCAAAACTTAGAGAGCCCCTGATTAGACTGATGAGGACATCAGAAGCCCCTTATAGGTGGATTTCACCATATTTAAGTTATTCTATACTGCTAAGATGGTAGAGAAGAGGACTGTGATTACATATTACTCCTTACAGCTCTTATTAGCTCAGGTGTTATCTGTGGTGAGGTAAACATTAACCTCACGTTACAAAGTGTTCCACATCCTGATTATCGCATTTACTCATGGAGGGTGTAATCAAAAGATTCTGAGAACACGTCCATTACCACTTACACTGTGCACTCCAACCTCAACCTCTGTTTCAAACTGCCTTGATGTTCATGTGAAAGATCATCACAGGTGAGGAGGTTTAGAATTAGACTCTATACAGTATGATACTGTGTGCACTTTTCCTGTAGCATCCTGAGGCGTCTCGTGGAGAATCCTGGAAGTAAACCAGGTGCACATTTTCGCATTGAGTCTCCAACTGACTTTTGTCATGTGCAGGCGGGCTTTTATTTCTAAAACACATCAAATCCACTTTGTAGTTCCTGTTTGTCACTTCCTGCCCACTTCTGCTCCGTGCAACCTGATTCAGAGCCTATTAAAAAGTACACCTGGTGTGACTTTAGGCTGCTGCTGGGATGCTTCTCTGTGGTGTGTCTGCTAAGCACATTAAAAACGCAGTGTTTTTGGCTACATAAGCAAAATTTACACTCATCTTTTTTACCACATTTGCTTTACTGTGATCTCATCCACATCCTCAAAAATTTAAATATAGTTGAAAGATCATCATTTGGATTTGGTGGAATAAATCAAGCTCCCATTGCACAAGTACAGAAGATGAAGAGGACCTTGTTTCCATGTACAGCCTACTTAACACGTTAGTTTGTCTAAAGAGTTTTGAGTATTTAATAATTAAGAGCAGAAACTCACCGTGTGAACAGTCCTCCTTTAGATGCTCAGCAGCTCTGTGGGACCACAGTCCACAGAGCAGGACTTTAGCCTGTTTTTCTGCTACGGCTGCTTTCCTATCAGCTTTACAGCTGCTGTTATCTGAGCCACTATCAGACAGATTAGTGCTCCTTATTCACAACGACATGATGACCCTGTTTTTATGTCAGCATCGTCCTCTACCCAACAGGAACCCTCAACATGAACTTTTACTCACAGCAGTTTAACCCTCATTCTCCATCTTCCCTGTGCTAATGTGTTATACTAGCTTAACCATGAGTCTATAAGTAGCCACCAGGCAGCACATCATTATATGTCAACTAACTCGACTTCACTAACTCCAAATATGACTTCATCTTTTTAGAAATCCACATCAGAACGTGGTATATAATCTTGCTAGTCCTCGTTTTAATGGGTGCTTGGATGAACCTTTCCTGTAACATCTGGGAGGACTGTCATGGTGATCATTTTATTAGGTTTTTGTTTTTAGAAAGAGAAATTCTAACAAACCAGAGTTAGAGGTGAGTTTAATCTTTATTTTATTTGTTTTTTATTTAGTCTTTAATTTTGTAAAATCTGCAACAAAGTTAATTAAAAACATAAGAATGTCATGGGGTGTATTCTTCCATGTCATATACAGCCTCCTCACATACTATCATGTCCACATAAAAGCCTAAAGAAATCAACAACAATTTCACAACCTGTCGAGTTATCTTACCACTAAATCAGGAAAATAACTCACTATGTTTACAGTGTACAATAAGGCTGTAATAAGCCTCATCAACTAAAACTAGCACAGAGCTTAACAAAATGCATCATTGATGTAAAAGCAGAATAGTGATGTAATAACCTCACAGAGCCGGTTTCATGACTCTGACAACATGACAACTCAGGGGCTGTTCGGGCATGTTCATTAAAAAAAGTAAAAGGAGAGGAAGTAGTTTTAATGTTTAACTAATGTCTTCTTAGTCTTAGTTCACTGTAATAAACTTTAGTCTGACATTAAACTTCAACAGAGTTTAAATAAGTGAGTTCAGGGCTAAGAGTAAATTACCTGCATGGCTAAAAGTTGCTACCTGAAAAATGAATAAATAAAAAAGTCCAATTTTAGAGATATAAAACCTGAACATTATTAACAGTATAAAAAGCCAAAACTGTGACTTCTGTGATACTTTTCTGATTTCAGACTATAGTTTCAAGTGTAACTAAACAAAACTCAAAGATCTTTTTGTAAAATTTGCCTGTTATTAGAATCAGACTTGCCATTCACAAGTCATTAGCCCATGAGCCAAAAACTGCGACAGTGAAAAACCTCAAGCTCCAGCAGCTATTCCATCTTTTATATAAAATCTATGATTGAGGCACTGACTCCATCCATATATCACATCAACAGCAGGATGACGTCACACAGATATCCCAGCTGTTATGAAGAGAGGAAATAAACGTCAATTTATAACATGGGAGTCTATGGGGACTGACTCTGTGGAGCCCCTGCTGGACGTCAGAAGAACTGCAGCTGTTGTTCTCTCAGCTCCTTTTGGATAATAAGAACTTGAGAGCACCTGCCCGGGCTGAGCCTGAGCTCAAGGCCAAAAATCTGTAATAAAGTGTGTAATAAATGAAATGCGCTGCACACATGACCGCATCTATAAGCTGGAGTCTTAGCACGAAGCTAATGTGTTGCTACACACAGCACCTGCCCTTCAAACCTGCCCTGTACTGGTTTTACTGGTGCGGTAATGGAGCCTAATTGGGACACGAAGCGGCCGAAATGCGTTTTGTTACCTGAGCGGTCAGCGGGGACACAGATTACCTCGGCGCCGCCTCCATCGTCCCTCCGGCGGTCAGTGCAATGTGATGTGATGAGTCGGTGTTTGTTCAAACCAGCTTAGTTCCAGTAAGAAGCCTCAGCCGTCCCGACAGGACATGATGCTCAAACAAAAAGAAGGCAGAGGACGCGTTTCTGTAGTCTTAATAACAAACCCGGCTGTTCTCCGCCTGCAGAGGATGGAGGACGTTACATGATGGCTGGTGCGGAGGATCTGCTGCTTGTCTCCTGAGTCTGACCCATTTTAGTCTTTGTCCTCTGGTAGGGGGAGGGAAGGAGCCTGCATCCCCAATCTGAGGCTCACTACCGTCTGATGTTCCTCCAAAAAGCCCAAAAAATATCAGAGAAACAGCCGGAGAAACCGGACACAAAGAGCTTCAGATGTTTCAATAAAGACACAGTTTATATAAGAGCTCCATACGGAGCCTCGTCAATAATTAAATCTGATCATGAACAAAACATCTGAGAGAAAGGACGCCAGCGTGAAGCGGATCAATAGTTTATAAAGCCTCCAACACGTATGGAAGACCATTAACGCCTCTAAAACATTACAAAAACAACATGGGTCTAAATTCGACTGAATTTATGGAAGTCCATAAAGACATTAGAGCTTAAATAATAAATAAAACAATTGCAGTAAGTCAAAATCTGGACAACAAATTTTGAAAAATACGGAAGCCCAATATACCCCCCTGAAAAAAAATACAAATAATGGGATGTATAAATAGTAAATAAAAATAGATAATGTAAGCTTATTTAAAGCCTTCAAATAAAATGAAAAAGTAAAACAAAACTGAACCTAATATCAAAAGTATGGAAGTGCATTAAAGATCAAGAATATAAAAATTAGATAAAAGAAAAAAAAA